AATTCCGCCCAATACAAATTCCAGAATTTCTCCCTCTCTGTGTTTTGGTTGAATCCTTGTAATTCGGTCATCTCGAAATACTAATACTACTAGTACGAATAATTACAACAGGGATTTGACTGAATTCAGGTTTGATCAAACTGAAACTGATTGAGATCATACAGGGAACCATTTAGATATGAGGGATTAATCGAGAACTGCCTCGTCCTAGTTTGGTATTCTTCAGTTTTATGCACGTTGCCTATTTCCAGGAAAAGGAACCTAATTCATTCGCTTTGCTTTAGGATAAGGAAAATTTGTAGTTCTGATTGCGTTGACTCTTAACTTGACTTCTTAAAAGCCACGCTGGCAGAAAATGGTCACCCTAACCGACTTATTGACAGCAACATGAAAGATAAGCGGTCTTTAATTGGTCACCGACTCAGTTCCAAAGAAGGCCTTATTCATGAACTTGGAATTCAAAGGTGATCAAGCTTCAGATATGCTCAAAAATCGTCTCTCTAAATCAGTCAGTGTAAGACGTTCTTTGCAGCAAAATTACATATGACGTTCACTAGCCGCAAGTTGTTCTCTACCTCAGTGAACGATAAGCTCCCCGTCTGGCCGCCTACATATGCATCTATTAGTCCACGTGCTCCTCTTGTGGAGTAAGGTACATTGGCCGTAGTCAGTGGACGCCACTTTCCACACGGACACGAAAACATATTCCAGAAGCATGGTTTTACAAGGGAGAAAGGAAGTGTGTGCGAAGCTCTATTCTGGAACACCTGATCGACTTCTGTCACTCTGTCAACCCTGATCATTATTTCAAGATCATATATAGAATCCATGCTAACTTGTCGGCCGCGTTTTCTTCTTTTCTACTTCTATAGACAACTGAGGCCTTGACAATTCATGACTTTAAGGCAGATCTTTGTGTACGAAAGAAGTACATACAATCCCTACTTCTGCCTTGGCCGTAGAGGGATAGACATTTATTTATTTATTTTGTTTATTTAGTTATTCTATGTACCTTTCCCTTATTACTACGATTATTATTACTATTATTATTCTCACTCTGAATCTTTTCCACTTGACCCACTTGTAATTCTAAACCCAAAATTATTAATTTTTATTTTTACAATATTGAATTCTATCTTATTAAATTTCACACCACGTTATGTAACATTTTATATTCATCAACTAATCCTATAATTATGTACCCTTTTCCAAAATCTGTACACCTTATGTATTATTCTACATATGACATTAATTATTTTGCCACTTGACATTAAACCATGATTATTATCACAAATATATTTTAATTGCATTTCATACTACCAGTGTTATTATTTCATGTATTCACACCTTTGATTTAATTCCCTTACCAGATATAATTTCTTAATGAAGAAAACCGTATACATACGATTGTACAGCTTGATAATAAATTCGTTGTTTCAAAGAGTTTCTTCTCTGAATACATTGTGCTCTTAATTCTGACCCATTTAGTTAAAGTAACCACAACCAATTGGCTGAACTTCTTGTTCATTTCAATCTGATTGTGTTTTTGTTTGGCACACTTAATGTACACATACATACAAAATAACTCGTATATACGTTTGCGATTGTATAGCTAAGAAAATGAATTCACCGGCGAAAAGAGACTCTTCGCTGAACAACTGTTCTTCTCTCTGGTAATATTTGTTATGTACTGCTGTTGAGTGGTTAATAGTAAGTTTTCCCCGTCGCCAATTATGTAATGTACTCGTCGAGTAGTTAATAGTCCTGACGCCGCGGAAAGAGGGAAATCAGAAGACCACCAAGTTCACGATGATACTTGTACTTTCCAGACAAGGAAAATAAATGTCACACAAGAGTGTGAGTGAAATAGTACGTAGTGTACGAATAAGTATGAATAAGTGTCTAATACAAAAGTATATATGCAAATGGCTAATACACATGAACCATTAAGACAACGTCTTACCATGATTGGTTGTAATGTCATGTGATAACAAGGTCGTACATTGTTTATTTAGTTAGTAGACAGACAAAAGCATAATGTCAGTTATAATGAAATATCGATCCATATACACATGGCAAAATATAACGAATTGTCAAAAACAAACACACATATCATGTGGATACATATAAATATTCGAATGGGGATTACTCAAGTGTGTTTACTTTTCTATGCATATTATTCTTATTAATTAATTTGTTTTATTCATTTGAGTTCTTCATAGAAAATTTGGCACTTTCCTTGAACTTTAGACTCCGAGAGCTGTTATGGTTTTTACGGGGTAAGATTGCCATCTTCGTTGTTGGGCTTACTATTGACTTATTAGCTGACAAGTATTTGACCACTGCACCACAGGCGTATATACTGTAAATTTATGATTCTGTCGAGGAGAGGTGAAGCTGAGTTTGAAATTGCAGCTCAGTATTATATCGACCAAGGTATGTCGACTACATCTGCTTTCATGTGAGATGTCTTATATCTATACTGAGTGGTGATGCGTTTAGTCATTCGTGTCGGCGCTTAAATGAATTCTACGCTATAGATCCCCGCCCCCTGTGCTGAAGAGTGTCAATAAGCAGGAAACATAGGTATTTCTAAGTTTCCAACAGACTTTCGGCGAATTACCTCCACGGGATACTAAATTGTTCACAACACCAATCACTTTCCTAGTATATAAAAGCTGCTTATTTTATATTTTATGCTTCTAGAGTTATTCTACTTATTATTATTAAGTAGTACAGAAGACTGTACATTTAGTCTCATAATATTCTTCCTCCTTTGGCGATCCCGTTCTCTATGACTGATGGTAGAAGCCATCTTACTAATCTTAGTAATACATTTGTCCGCATTCTCTGAGCACCATCAGTCATTGGGAATGCAGACATATCTAGTTGCTGAGTCTTGGACGGGAAGAAACATGCACCTTGGATTCATCTACCCCCTCACCAAGAATCAATCGAATAGCTTTGTAAAACATCAATATCTGTGTGAAAGGCTCAGCCGAATTATTATTATTACGTTGATTGTTTTCATAGGTTTCTGGAGGAATATATTTCTCCATCAGCACGTCTTCACTCCGCTCGGTTCTCCATTTCTCTCTCTCAAAAGAACTCCACCCTTTCAAACTTGAATCTATGCCCAAGTGATCACTTCCCAATAGAGTTTCACTCAAGGGCCAGATTGGAGTTTGAAACCACTCAATGGTCTTCTCAGAGTCTATCCTGTGCATCTCTGTTTACTTCTTTAATTTATTGGGTATTAGATACTTGGCTGGTTCCTGGCCAGAATTATTGATTACTGGATTATCATTTTACTGTCTGACATCAGATCTGACTTGACATTTGTTCTAAGTAAAACTCCTATCTAGTTCTTTGTTCACACAGAAGCATATTTAAGCACTGATTTATGAGTAGTGAACGCCTGTTTACTTCCCCTATCCCAGTTAACTCTGACGTCTTCATTCGTGCCCGCTGTCGTCCAGTTCAGATAAGTGGAAGATGCGACTTCTTTTAAATTCCTTCATTCATTGTGACTGGCGCTTTTCTTTGTCGTTTCAATATCTTCATCATCTCTACTTTTCTATGTTGACCTGAAGTCCTGTTTCGTATGCTTCTCCCACCACGCCCCCCCAACTGGTTCGTTTTGTCGTGTAAATCGCCAAGTTTGTATGACATTGGAAATAAATCATCCACGAAATCCAGATCTTCTAGCGTATTTTTAACAGTTCAACATATGTCTGTCTTTCGATCCCCCTGCCGACCACTATATTACGTAATATCTAATTCACCATATCCAGGAAGAGCAGTATGCGGTCCTTCATTACTCTAGTCTTCACTTCTGTTAAGCTTCTGGAATCAACCTTCAGCTGTTAAATAAGGTTTATAGAGCTTTGTGGTAATGCATTTCGCAGAGCTGACGCATTTTCTAAATCACTTCATGGTCAACGTTATAGAAGGCGCTATGGAAGTTACTGGTGTTGACTTAGTAAGCTAATTGACTGCTATTTTATGCCCCCTGTTTGATGATAATGTGTACCTGCATAACGCTGTATACTACTGATTGACTGAATTAAGTAGTTGCACACTACTCATATCAGGGCATACTAGCTAGTTGGTTCTAGGTGATCTCGACACCCGACAGTCATTTCTTTCGTTTACAGTCGAGGTGGAGTTTGACTCAGCTTATACAGTTAAATTTCTGGCTAGCTAATTGGTCGAAATGGTGATTATTATTATTACTTCCTTGAGTTCCGAGGGAAACATAGGGCTTCAACAACGCATCTTTACTTTGTTCAGTTTTCTCCCGTCCTCTTAAGCTGGGTTGACGAGTGTGACCAAACTCACTTCAACATACAATATTCTACATGTCACCTTCACACCGGCAACCTACTTATATCTTCCCATTGGGATTACATTCGAGCGATGACCTGGCTTTCGATGTCATTCAACGGCCTCCTCAATGTACGCCCCGATCCATCTCCGCTTCCTCCTCCATATTTTTTTTTGATCTATCGACTCTCGCCTGTTGGTTTGTTCCCATAGTTTGATCTTCAATATGCAGCCAGAGAAGGAGGCAGCTGTTGATGAATATCTGCAACAGGCTGTTGGAAATCCTTTTCTTGACTCACACTGCGTGTGAGTCAAGAATCTGACCCGTATAGAAGAACTAACTGACTTTACATTGGTGTTGAAAATATGAATCTTGTTCTTTATGCTAGTTGGGCGAAGAAGATTTTCAAACTGGTTTCAAGTTGATGAAGGAGTATCTTGCCTATCCAATTCTGACAGGCTGGGTTTGACATTTTCATCCGTTCTGCCTGTAGGTGAAACAATAGTCATAGGATAAGTCTAACTGTATAGATTGCAAATTGCTAGCTGACATTGAGAATTGTCAGATTTGGCGATAAGTACCACAATATGTCATTTTTATCTCCAGTTATAAGCTCGAGTCTATATCACCCTGCTTATCTCTTGGGAATGTTCTATGCAAATCATAAGAAGACTTTCAGGAGTCACAAGCATTTACCAATGAAATCAATTATCAAATGAATATAAGCATTTTTAACCTGCAATAATTTCGTCATACACATAAACAAACACAATTAAATGAGAAGGAGAACGAACCCAGAGAGAAGGACATCAAAACATAGAAATAAAACAAAAACGAAAATACAAGCAAAAAAAGATAATTAAAACACACAAAAAAATAATAAAATTAAATAAATTAATCCAAATGAAGACCACAAAAGACACAGAAGCCTTGAGATATGACGTAAAATTAATAGTGTCTTAAAATTAAACGCCTTATTTCAACAAATAACAGAAAATATGTTCAGGGCAAATAATTGTTAATAGGCAGCAGGCGAGCAGGCAGACAGGCGGGTAGGCAGGCACTCAGCCAGCTAGCCAGTCGTCTATTGGTTATTATGCTCTCGATTCTTTATAATTGAGAAAGACAAAACAACCAATGAAAGTAGACACAAAAATTAGTCAGTTAGTTAGTTAGTAGGTTAGTTAGTTAGTCAGTTAAATATTTCAATGTTTGTTCAATGCTCAATAATTGGTGCTTATTCAATATTCAATGTTATATGCGTAAATGGGCATGTATTGTTAGCTTTTTTGTTAATTTATGCCTGTATGTGTGTGTGTCTGTGATTAAGCGGGCTGTTATTGCTGAAAATAGGCAACATGTATATATAGAGAGGGCAGATAAAATGCCCTATGCATGCAGATAAGCATATCTTATAAATGTATCGATTTTTGTGTAGGTGTATATGTATTTATATATAAGTTTGTTAAAATTTACTTATGTATATAGATATATAAATTTGCACTGTACTCACAGATATCAACAGTTTTGCTTTGGTAAAATACATTTTCTGATTTATTTGAAAGATATATGTATATATTGTATTTTGTTTTTGCGTCATATAATTTTAAACAATTTTTTTAAACAACATATAACAGCATAAATTGCTCTGAAATGAAAACAAATAGTTTAAAAGGCTGTACGGTGATGTATGTAAGCAATACCTTTTTCTGCATTTTGTTCAACTTGTTTTTAGTCCTCACATGTTAATTCTTTTCTGGCATATCTTGTAGTGTATGCCATTGGGCGATTGGTCGTCTTGGATTCGCCAACATATCAGACCAATGGCGTAGAGCAGCGCCTGTAGCATTACAGCCTAGTACAACACGACCAATTGGTTCTGAGGTACCGATACGATCATAATCGACGACTGTAACAATGAGGTTGACTTTCTAAAATATAAATAATAAAAGTAACATAGTACTGATATTGATATAAGTAGTGGTCACAGGAAATTATTTTTTTGTGATTACAGCTTGATTCCACACCGTATTTTTTGGTACAGGTATGGAATTTTCAGCGTGTGATATCGTTAGCCCAAATTTTGCAGGCTGACTATAGATATCAGGTATGCGTTGGCAGGGGATCGAACCCCGGACCAAGTGCATGGTCGGCGAGAATCCTAACCACTGTGTCACCGACGTACTGCAAAGGGAGAACCGTGAGGCCTCCTCACTGAGAAAAACTACACACCTGAGCGCACCTGATTAGGGTCCATCGCGAGTTTCAGCCCACCGAGTTGCAATAATGAGCCTCCACCCGGGGTCAGAGGATTCTTGATCACCCTAAACCCACAGCCAGGAGAAAACTAACCAGCACACATCTACAGATCAAACACTCAACTACAGAAGCAATAATCCAACGGGACATAAACACATAAACTGACTAAGAACATTATTCATTTATTATTATTATATCCTTTAATTCCTAGAGGAACATAGGGCTTCAGCTGCGCATCTCCATTGCCTTCTGTTTTCTGCAACTTTTTCACCCCGCTGTAAGTCTTCCCACATTCTTTTATCTCCTCTTCACATGACCTCCTCCAAGTCACTCTTGGACGACCAACTCACCGCTTCCCTTCGGGTTCCACAACATTATTCAAAAACCGCTAAAACACACTGTAGCACTTTAGTTCTGAAGACAATTGCATGGAAATATCTATTGACTGTCCACTATTTCACGGAAAAGTGTCTAAACTCTAACTAAAACTACCAGCAGCAAGAAATCCTCGTGAGAAAATTTATCCTGAATAATTCCTAAGTGAACATTAATCAAAACAAAATACGTAGTTCAGCGAACAGTATCTTTTCGGCGAATTCATTCGCTTAGCTGTACACTCGCAATTATGTGTACTTATTTTCATATGTGTATGAGTGTGTGTACATTGAGTTTGTCAGATAAGAATAAAAATGAGCTCTAGAAAGGGATTGCGAATCCGAAATTTCTTTTCTTGATGTGCAACTAACAAGACGACCCGACAGAACCTTTTCTTTTATTCCTTCACGTTCCCCAATGGAACATAGGGCTTCAAGCTAGTGGCTTGAAGTTTCTGTAGCAGTGTTTTATTTCTACAGGATGGGGTTGCTAGCCACCTCATGTCCAACTATGTCTGTTTATCAGCGTCAATACTGGCTTAGCGAAGTAAAGGAGTGTTTTGGCTGGGGACCGAACCTCATACACTTTGCATGGTCGGCGAGCGTCCTAACCGCCGTGCCACCGACGCACTGACATAAACCTAAGAAGGTCAACTGATGGAAAACCCACTTGCAACGGTCAACTAATAAGTTTCTGCATTTGAGCGCCTATTGAGAGAAAACGAAATCTGATTAAATCATTTGCCACTCCAACACAACGTATCTGCAGTCCTGATACTCTGAAGCAGAACTCAATCTTCTGAAAAAAACCATCCAAAATTGATACCCACCAAGATTTATGGTCCAGAGGAAAGAAACGTCACTTGTTTCGAAAAAGACACTTTACATGAAGATGGATTTCAAGGGAGACTTAGCTTGTAATATTCTCAAACAAAGAATTTCAGCAACTTTGAGAAGGACATTCTTTGATGCAACACTAAACTAAGAGTAGTGTTCTCCAGTTGTCTATTGGTATGCCGAAGCCTTAAGGAGAACACCTAGCATTCGCCCAATTCTATGTAGGTATATTGGTTCACTCGTTGCTGTGGTGCCAGGTACACTCGTCGTTCAAAGCGTGTCCTGTCCATAAGGGTTGAAAAACACTATCCTACATGGCTACAAGAGGGTAATAGTGGCTGTATAAGAAGTGCGATAATCGAACTTCCGGTCAACATTGGTCATTCCATCTCAACAAACGCCTCTTTCAAAGAGATCCATAATGTAAAGAACAATAAACAAAGGCTATACGCTCTCGCCTCTTTTGTATTACAGAAGCCTTAGCCATTCAGCTGGGAAAAACCAGAGTTACATGAAAGCCGCCCAATCGCTTCAACTATCATGTTAACAACCATGTTGGCTTCTTTCGACTTTGCGTTTATGTGCTTGTTTTTTTCAAACCCCTTATAGCATTTGTAACTTTTAGAACTCTTACATAATTCCATATTTTCCTTTGTTTCTATATGCATCCTAATCACAACTCACTCATTTAAACTATTCACCCTATTACGTAACTGCATTACGCTTTTTTGACAACACATCACCCCTACATTCTAACCAGTCTTCTCCCCCATCTATAGTTACAGTTGGATTACTCATCACATTTTGAAATGTCTTGAAAACAGTTAACTCTAACTTATTTTTGTTCTTATTGGGCAAACCTACTGTGCACAAACATAAACAAAAATGAGTGTGTATAATTGCGATTGTACAGCTAAGTGAATGAATTTGCCGAAAATTTATCCTATCAAATATGAAGAATACTCAACTATTCAAGTGATGGTTTGTAGGGATTCGATTGGTTTCAGGATTTCATCATGAGCTGACATTAGTTAGAGAACCATTGGGAAACCTGAGAGTACTGGATAGCTGTTTCGTCCTAGTTTGGGACTCTTCAGCAGTACGCACCCACCGGGATTCGAACCCAGGACCTAGTGGTTACAAGGCGAGCTCGTATACCATTAAGCCACTGGGACCCGATCCTGGGTTCGAATCCCGGTGGGTGCGTACTGATGAAGAGTCCCAAACTAGGACGAAACAGCTGTCCAGTACTCCCAGGTTTTCCAGTGGTTCTCTAAATAATGTCAGCTCATGATGAAATACTCAACTAATTTGGAATGCAAAATAAGTGAGCAAAGAATATCCTTTTCGATAATTGCCTCTTCGGGCTCTACAACCAGGTATCTGTATCTTGATATACATAGAATATTCTAGATTAGTAGTCAACTACAATATTAATGTTTTTTAAATAATATCGATTTGTGAAGTAAGATAACAGTGGAATTACAGTCGTTTAAAGAAGTAAAAATTATTATGACAATAAAAATATAATAGCAAAGAGAATGTCAACTAAAATTAGCGAAATTTCTACAAAAATTGAGGGTCACTCGAACCTAGATGGCCAAGATAAGGACAATGTCTGAACTAGCTTATTTTGGACACAAATTAAGCTTCTTAATGTGGATCCCAACGGTCAGCGTCAGCAATATTTTAGTAGACGATCTCTAAAGGTGAAGTTAAGGTTTGTTGGTATGCGGTAAATGACCCTGAAAGCATGGTTAACATCAGTCATGTGTTCTATATCCACAAGATGAGATAGGATAACGCTATGAATAGATTTTGTTTGTCCTTTACTTAATCACGCAGGGTGACGTTCGGAAATTCGAAGAGAACGCACAAAACCAACATAATCATTTCATTCAATACTATGTCGCCTCGAAGATCAACCCAACACTAGAAGGCGAGACTAACAACATCGACAAAATAAATCGCATGAACTGTGGTAAGCACTTTTGACTCTGAATCCCAGAATATAAACTAGCCAGGTGTGGAAAGACATGAGATGTATTCTTCCATATCAATGCATATGTACAACAAGGGACACCATTTTGACTGAGAAAATGTGGAAATTTTAAACAGTGGCATTCCCAGGCTCCTGGTACTCAGACATATCAGCCTTCACATCGAAGTTTGTACTGACAACGAATGTTGCATAGAATAACATTAAATGAAGGCTTCGCAATTAAGCCATCACCCAGGTCTGAGAACACAGTCACACCAAAAAGTAGTCACATGAATTTTTCAAAATTTAGATTTAGTATTAGACGCGGTATGATGCTCCTGTCCATCCCAAGCAAAATACTAAGCCGTACCATCCTAGAGAGAATCAAACATGCACACCTAGATGAAAAACTTCGACCAGAACAAGCTGGATTGAGGAGAAACAAGTCATGTATTGATCAAAACGCCATACTACGGATCATCATTAAACAGAGCTTGGAATGGCAGTCACCTCTCTATCTCAACTTCATCGACTTTGAAAGTACCTTCAACAGTGTCCATAGAAAGGTGATCTGACAACTACTTCGCTACTACGGGGTGCCGCCGACAATTATGCATCTCATCCAATGGTTGCACGACATTGCTGCATGCCAAGTAATCCACAACGGGGACACTTACGGGATCCTTCGAAGTGAAGACGGGAGTAAGACAAGCTGGCTGCCTACTATTGCCAATGATTTTCTGATTGCGGTAGATTAGATAATGCGGCAGACAGCGGTGGGTAGCGAAGAAACAGGCACAAAATGGACTCAAATGAAAAACTTGGAGGATCTGGACTTCGTCGATGATTTATATGTCTGATTTCCCACAAACTGGAAGATATGCATGTGAAAAGCAACAATTTGGCAGAAGAAGCATCCAGAGAAGATAGGACTTCAGGTGAACATAGAGAAAACGGAGGCAGATGATGAAGACTCCTAGCTAACAGCAGCACCAACAACCACCACAACAACAGACAACAGTCAGCATAAATTGGAGGAATCTGAGAGAAGCAACCTCCCTCACCTATCATACCTGGGAAGCATCGTCTCAACTACAGGTAGAACTGACGAATATATCAAAGCAAGGATTGGGAAAGCAAGACAAGCTTTCATTACTCTAGAGTGTGCGTGGGAATCAACAGCACTCAGTATAAAAAATAATACTCGGATTTTCAAATCCAATGTGAAGTCACTGCTACTTTTATACGGATCAGAGACTTGGCTCCGCGTCATGAACAGCACCTCAAACAAATTACAGACCATCATCAACAGCTGTCTTCGCTCAATACTATGCTCAAGATCAGATGGCCGCCCAGAATATTTCAGCAACAGGGATCTCTGGCAGTGAGCGAACCAACCAGGAACCGATTGTGCAACAAATAGGCAGGAAGAAATGGAAGTGGATTGGCCATACTCTGAGGAAACCATCAAGTGACAGCACTAGACAAGCCATCTCTCGAGTGGGACCCGAAACGAGTTACTTGGAGCAAGTCATGTGAAGAGCAGATGAAAGCATGTGGGCAGACTTGGAGCCAGGTGAAAACTCTAGCAGAGAACCAAATGCAATGGAGTCGCGTGGCTGAAGCCCTATGTTCCTCCAGGAATTAAAGGAAATAATAACAATAATAATTAGACAAAATCAATCATGTGACCTTGAAACAGCCAATCATAGAAGCTGTCTACTTACTAACAACATACGTATGTCGATTGATATCGATTTTAATTTTTGAATATATATATTGAACATTTGTGCAAGACTGACTGCCTGTCATGATAACAATAAATATAGGGATATTTGCTTAAAATAATTATAACATTTTTCGAAACGTAGTCACTGACATTTCAGATTTCCTGAACCTAAACACATTAGAAAAATGGATTATACCCAAACATCACCGACTAATACGACTGTCAAAAATGCTAAGCATTTTCGGTAAACATAGCTACAAGTGAAACATTTATTTGATTTGTTAAACTGTACAGATGTCAAAATTACCTCTTTTGTGTTTTTGTTTAACAGCCCTGAGTTTTTCCGTTTTTTTCAGCTTATTACGTCAGAGTCAACATCTGACATCTGCTACATAATTTCATCACCTTTATGTTAGTTAGTTAGGTAGAATAAGAGACAGATAGATGCTTATGTATCAGTTATGATCATTACTCATTGTCAGAATCCATTTTGAAACAGAAATTGAATATGTCAGACTGTTTTGTTGTTGTACCTCTCACTGCCTGTCTATTTGTCTATCGCAACGGACGAACATATTTACCAATTAGATGGGCTATCCGAGTAGTTTCATAAAGAAACATATGAAAACATCAGAGAGAAAACCTGGAACTCTGGCTGCACGTAAAAATCCTCTATTTATTAAGTTACAACTTAATGATGACTTATCAAGTGAGATTTTGTTCCAGAGACTATCCAGGAGTATACCGAGAACGTTTTACGCAGCATTCCTATGTTTGTCATTCTCTAGCCAACGAATGATTGGGACACAAACGAAGGATAAGCTAGATAGTTTTGCCACATCTATGTGCATTTATCAATTCAAATGCACCTGCGGTGACAGTTATGTTTGGCGATGTACTACTAGACAGCTTAGCCAACCAACGTGTTAGTGAACATCTCCCATCGTGTTAGTTTGACAAAGGACAGACAAAAACAATCCGTAGCTCAATTTTGTCACATTTAATTGATAGTGGTTATGTAGTGTGGAGAAAACGAGAGCTTTCAAAGTAATTCATCGTATCCCACCGAATCTTTCCAATAGACTTCGTATTCGTCTACTGCACACACACACACATACATAGCTGATGCGGTAGACATTCGAATAGCTATGAATCCCCTAAACTATGCATTCCAAAGAAGCTCGTGTAGCCATTATCCCTCCCTTGGTTGGCCTATTAAGACATAACCAACTGAAATCTTCTACGCCACTCCTGCCTTACTTATATTTTCAACCCCTCCATTCTTATCATCCCCTAATCTTATCACATCTTCATTAAAACCGTGTCGCGTTTACTTCCCTTACAATCTAACATTACTTAATCTGTTCATTTGTTTTTACTAATCTTTATCGACTACTACTACGTCCACATGAACATTTGTTTGTTTAATCATGCTGTTTTTCATTATTGGTATTATCACAGATTGCCTCACTTTTTCATCCTTATTATTGATAAAACCATTATTATTATTATCATTACTACTATTATGACTAATTGCACAATTTATATTCACCATCGTATTATCCTATAGACAAAACACCATGATTGGTTTATATTTGAGTTTTTATTTGTAAAGTTATGTAGGTATATATTAGAGTTAAGCCTGATGAGATCTAATCGAAAACAGGAATACTGTTCGCTTAAATGTGTTTTTCGAGATAATCTAACAGATGAATGCGTAAAACTTTCGATGTTTACAAGAGTAATTCGAAAAAAAGTGGAAATATTTTCATAGTTGAAGCTGTAGACTGAAGGCGTACTATGGATGAGGATGCCAAAGCAAAACGGGCATTGATTATTCTGAAATCACTGGGGGAAATCTACTGCACTCGGTATGAGGAAAAGGATTCAGATTTTAGAGACTAATATCAATTCATAGAGGACTTCATCATGAGCTGATATCAGTTAGAGAACCACTGGAAAACCTGGGAATACTGGGCAGCCAGCTGTTTCGTCCTAGTTTTGGACTCTTCATCAGGAAGCAGCCATACCGCGGGGCTCGAATCCAGGACCTTCTGGTTACAAGTCTAGCTATCTCGTAGACACTGAGACTCGATCCAGTGGCCAGTCCAGGAATTCCTACTTCTGCCAATTCATGACATAGCGCGACTACTTCTCAGTCTTCTTCCTCGATGAGTTACTGCCTTATCTTCAATCTGCTATACCCCTAATGGTCACGGCTTCCCACTAGAACTGCCTACCTGAATAGTGCCAGTCGCTAGTGAGCATCACGTTAATTTTCAAGTATTGGTTTTGTAGGGATTTTATTTGATTGATTCTAGGATTTCATTATCAGTTGATATCAGCTACAGAGTCACTGGAAAACCTGGGAGTACTGGACATCTGTTTCATAGTAAATTTAGGGCTCTTCTGTAGTATGTGCCTAACATCCCATCGAGGAGAGAACTAAGGACCTCGAGATAATGAGGCGAAACTGTTAGTTGTTCTACCACTGGTTTGGTGTGGAACGGTTTGAGAATTCTAATTTTTCTGTTAGTTTTTAATATATGCAGCGGCACACAGACAATTTTATAGGTGAGCATTCTAGCCTACATCCAGCTTATTGGATTCTGATAGTCACGTATTTTCACTACACCTTCAGGAAGCCCATCCTGGAGTGAACTGCTGATGAGAACTAGTATGATCCCAGGTCACGTCGTGGATTTATGATGCTGAGGTGTTACAAACTAGGATGGAACAACTCTCCAGTGCTACCTAGTTTTCAATGGTTTTTTTCCAAATGACACCAATTTGCGGTCAAACCTGAAAATTAATCTGATGTTCGTTGGTGATTGGGTAAAGGATGAAATTAACTGGAGTTTTAGTGAGATTTCAATGATCAGCAGTGTCCACCAGCTAGGGCATGAAGACAAACACTCGCCGATGACACTGACTAGAATTCTCGCTAAATTCACGAATTGGTAAAAGTTGGAATTCATAGGATGAGTGTCATTGGCTGAATGATATATGAGCTCGTCTTGTGACAGGCAGGGTCTGAGTTCAAAAACTGGTGGACAAGTACTACTGGAGAGTAGAAAACTACTACAAAACAGTTTTTCAGTATACATTCTTCCAGGTTTCAATGGTTCTATAACTGATATCAGTCCGTGACCAAACTCTGAACAAATCGAATATCTACAAATTAACTCTTCAAAAAAATGATTTGTATGTTTAACTGGATGTGATGTGTGAACTGACATTCATTACTGGTGGACAAAATTGGATGAGTGTCGCTCAATAGTGGTGAACTATCAGATGCTGGGAAACACCGGACATAAGATTCAAAGACAATGGTTTAGTTATAACATACTTATTGATGAAAAGTACCGTCTCGCTTTCTACTTTGCAAGCGGTTGTTTTAGAACAAAAGATGTATCTTAGGATTCTTTGGTCTTCATTGATACGCTACTTCTTAATAGATACATAAGAAAGACTGCCTTACAAGCTAACTGTTAAGATAAAATAGGCAGTATTATCAAAATAGTAAGAAGTGGGCAACTAAATTGGAGAATGGTAGATTTAGTCAGGCAGTAAGTAGGTAAGCAAGTAAGTTAGTGCATCAGTGAGTTAGAGGACTGTAGATGGGGAGATAGAGAGTATGAAAGATACAGCTACCACTACAAATCCATTCCTTTGCATTCCATGTGCAGTATAGGGCTCCAAGCATTGAACTTTGAAGTTTGAGTTAAGATAGTGTTGCTAATTTTGTGATTACTGTCCACACCCAATCTCCTCCCTTTACAGCGCTTACCATCAGTTAGATGAGGTTTCTGAGTGGGTCAACCGGGAATGGAACTTTCATGGTGAGCATTCTACCTTTGGACAACCGATGCACAGATCCTTAAGAATCACCTAACACTTCAATTAACAGCTGATCGGCGTACAACACAACACACAATTACACGCCAAAAAAAAATAAATCCTGAACAACTTACTTGTATCTGATCGAATGGAACATCAAATGCAAATGATTCATTGTAATATGGATTCAGTGTGTACTTTTTAATTGTGGTCTTTTTCTTTTTAACACGTTTTCCATTAAACATTAACGATAATTTGACATAGGGATCTAAAAGATGAATTATTAAAAAATACAGACTATTGTTACTACTGATATTACTACTAGTAGTGTGGTGACAGCTGTCTGCAAACAAGCCAAAAATTGTAGACAATAATTTACATCAGTGTTTACGTCCCCAACCGGTGTCATGAGAAAAAAACATAATAACAAAGCTTAACCTTGAGAAACTCACCAACTAATCACGGCAGACTTTACGTGTGCAAGTACGATTAGCAGATATTTGGCTCAACTTTCTGAGAAACGGTCACAAGCAATACAGAATAACCTCCAGCAGGAAAACAACCAATCAGAAGACAGCGCTTCTCTGCTGACAAAAATGTACATAAAAGTCTATAAAATATCTCTTGATTTTTTTTTTCAATAAACGATCTGTTGCCTGGTTCTTGTCTTCTGTCGTTACCCTAGTAGTGTAACAACAGAAGACAAGGACCAGGCAACAGATCGTTTTATTATGAAAATCAACACGTATTTATACATATTTCACATACATTATTATAGCTTATGCAAGTAGACAAGCGCAGTCATCTGATTGGTTGTTTTGGGATTCCTCGACAAATAGAGTTCTCTATCTGCGAATCATATTTTGCCACGTTAACTTTGCTGTGATTGGTTGTTGAATCAGCCTTGCTCATATTTTCTCACGGCCTGCTCTCACCACAGTAGTATGCGTTGACAACTTTTAACTAGTTACCAGTTTAAAAGTTTATCGAATCTACTTTCAAAGAAATTGACTCTTGAATTTACTCAAGGAATGCCCACATGAAATGGGCAATACTTGCATTTTAATAGTTTTGTCCAAATAGCTTTAAACCGGCACCAGTGAAGACTGTCTACGATAGTAGAGCTAGGAGAATATGCTCTTCGGAGAAATTAGAGGAAAAATTTATGATTCTCGAAACGATGTTAGAAACAGTGGTTACCATCAGAGATTCCCCAACAAATATGGAAAATGTGAAGGCTGAAACATCAAACAAATCACAGTCAGGGAAAAGCCTGTCTTCATTCAACTCAATTTTAAAGCTGGACATATTGCAGCTATGGTCAACAGAAGACCGAGTACGTCACTAGACAGACCCTACCCTGTAGTCAAGTTAGTTTCCGTCTATCGGATAATATGCTGTTTGATGAAACCGAAAGTCGATAGATAATGTTCTCATGTTAACTCCAACTGTATATACAAATTTACATGTATCTGAGGGAGTAGTTACATTGAGCAAACAGAAAGAAGGACTCACACACCTCCGATTTTCTAAACATGTACTAAAAAGCTCACGTCTAAAGGGAATAACTGTTTTCGCCAGTGCCATCACCAGGCATCTTCTTGACGCGGGTAATGAGGTGGACGTTACAAGGTAGTTCAAAATTGTCAATAGGCAAAAGAGTTCAATTCTCCTTAAGTTTGCCGATGCAATCTCCATCAAGCTCCTGTAAGCCGACTTATGTGTGTTCAGAATGAAGCAGTTATCAGTCTTTCCTTGTCCTGCTGCCTCGTAACTGGATATTTTCATCGTCTCTTTCATCTGATTACGTAATGCCGAAAGTTTCCATTGAATATGATTATTACCGTTGTCTGGGGTTATGTTTATTACATATATATTATTATTGTATGTATATATTGATTGATTTTTGTTTGAAAATTGACTCATCATTATTTCTTAAAGTATAATTTCTTGTCGAATACCATACAAACTTGAAGATCTACGGAAGAAAGCCGACAAACTGACAGGAGAACCAGCGAACACAGTGTTTCGAATGAACATAAAGACGACAAAGCTTTTGAAAATACTCATCGACCAAGAGCAACAAGCATTGGTCACGACCCATGGGAGAAATTTGAAGGATCTTGCCTCCTTCACTTATCTAGTCAGCAGCTTTTCATTCATAGGCGGCACAGATGACGATGTCAAAGCCAATTCGATTCGGAAAGCAAGACAGGCGTTTATTACTCTCAAAATCAGAAAGAATAAGCTTGAATGGAAACCAAGGAGATGGCCATCCGAGTGTGACATGGAGAAGATTATGTGACGATGAAATAGGAGCTTTTATGAAGTCCTGGGATCAATTAAAGTTTATCACGTATAACCGAGTGGAATGACCGAATGGACTGCTGAAGACTAATGTTCCACTTGGAACTTTAGGAACAAATAATAATAATAAGACGTAGGTGGTGACGTCCATGAAAGTCATGAGACACCATAAGTGAGTGCTAAATACATTTGCACTACTTCAAGATCATTTTATTTCACTGAATCACAGAGCTATCTTCATCACCTCCGTCTTGTCTGTATTCCCCTGCCCCTGTCAATAACAATTACTCTTGAAACATTATTATTAGTATATTTAACTCAGCGACCATATCATGAGGAAGTTATCAAAATTGCAAATATTCTGTGGAGGATTTCATCATGAGCTGACATCAGTTAGAGAACCACTGGAAAATCTGAGAGTACTGGACAGCTGTTTCGTCCTAGTTTGGGAATCTTCAGCAGTACGCACCCACCGGGGTTTGAACTCAGGAACTTCTGGTTACAAGGCTAGCGACCTCGTAGACCATTGAGCCACTGGGACCAGATCCAATGGTTTTTGAATTCTAACTTGTGCCAATTCACGGTATAGCGCTACCACTTCGCAATGTCTTCCTCTTCGATGAGTTACTGCCTCATCTTCAACCTGCTGTATCCTACTGGTCACGGCTTCCCACGAGAACCTCAGGCAACTGCCTACCTGAATAGTACCAGTCGTTGGTGAGCATAAGATTAATTTTCAGCATGAGTGCGTACTGCTGGAGAGTCCCAAACTAGGACGAAACAGCTGTCCAGTACTCCCAGGTTTTCCAGTGATTCTCTAACTGATGTCAGCTCATGGTGAAATCATTCATACAATCAAACAAAATCCGTACAAAACCAATACATGAAAATTGTGAATATTCCTTGAGCTCAGTCTCGTTTGTTTGCGTCATCTAAATGCCTAAAGAGGCATCGGTATTTATCTTCTGCGCTAGTGAGCTATGCGATTAGATGACTCATATACGAAGTTGTATCGTTAGACAAAATGAGATTAGTGTGGATTGTTTATGTGTATACGTCGAACAAACAAAGTATGTGATAAAATAAATTTAATATATATATATATATATATATATATATATATATATATATATATATATATATATATATATATATATATATATATGTATATATATGCACATAAATCAATAGTTTTCATAAATATTTGCCGTAAACGACATTTTAAGGTCACTCGAACGTCATTAGAAGTCGATACTACAGCTATCTATTTAGACTGCTCCCGCGAAAAATGATATTCAAATATACACTTGAATAAGTTATGTTCTTGATGACTAAGCCTTAAAAGAATATCAGAAGAATTCAAAAAAATAATCATTAGAATGCATTAGTAAGAGGAAAAGTAGCCAATTTATTATTATTTCTCTCCATCTGTCTGTGACTAACCTGAAAGTCCACCGACATCCATCTTCTTCAAATTTTTCGCTTCAAGTATATTGACATTCAAACGACCCGAAGTTGGTACATAACGCAGTGAAAAGCAAATATCACCTAAACGGTTTTCCTTGAAAGAATACAAAATTTAATGATATGAATGAAAAGCTATGATATAAACATACTACTAATTGGCTGATATGAGTAGTTGGTGACCACTCATGTCAAAGTTCGTCAAATGAAAGTGATCTACTTATTTGGAACTCGGCTCATCAACAGTGTATGCGGTTTTATTCAGCTCAGAGAATCGAATCAATTGGAACCGCACGATTATCCCAGTTTTTGAGAAGCAGAACAAGTCTTAATGTGGTAATCAAGGGGGGAGATAAGCCTGACCAATATAGTATCTAAAGTTTTAGGTTCGGTAATCAAGCACAGAGTAAATGGAGCTCAGAAGGAGTAAATCTGTTAAAACCAGGAAGGTTTAAGGCGAGAGAGATAGAGTGTACTGATCTCATATATTCACATATATTCTGGAATATAGGCCTACTTACCTACGCGCAACGGTTGACGTATTTCTTGACCTAAAGGCCTAAGTCAGTACTATGGTAATGTTTTGCAGTGAAGGGAGTGCCCATGAACTTCATCGCACTAAATAAGGCACTCTACTCAAACTCACACAGCCATGTAAGGGCTTATGGAGCGTTTTCATCGGAAGTGATGAGAAACAGTGGGTGCTCACGGTCCGCATTTCTGTTCAGTTTCACCAAAGATGTTCTAATGAAATTAACCGTGACTGACTTCAGCGACTTAAGGATTGACTTATAGGTAGGAAATAGTATTGTTAACTTAGAATATGTGGATGCAGAGTCTTCTAAACACCTTCGACAGAAATTTTCAGATGTTTGGCATGAGATTTACTCCTATCAGATGGAAGATGATGCTCCAGGGTTGGATTACACCAACTCCTGGATTAAAGATAGGGAGGGAATGAAGTAGTAGAGTGGGTTTACCAATTCACTTATTTTGGAAGTCGCATCAGCTGTCATGGACTGACTGATGACGAAATCTTAGCATAAATGCAGAAGGCTTTTGTGAGATTTGTTTCTGGTGTAGACATGATAGCTGGATATTGATGAAAAGGACATGTGCACTGTGCAACAATTCGTTCTGTTCTCCTCTATGTCTGTGAGAATTGACAAGGCTAGCTATCTTTGACTGCAGATGTTTGAGTTTAATCTCCTGTAATAACTCGTACACAATGGTGGTCAACACTCAAGTTAGGCAAAGTGTTAAGTAAGTAGGATAAGTTAGTCAATGAGGTTGCGAAGCTATATCTATTGAGATGATTGGGACATCTGTCGTGCATGTTAAACCATCGCCTTCCTCGATGGACAATGTCAGTAGCACACACCACAACAGTGGATTAGGCTGGGAAAGAGTTAGGGGTAGTCAGACCACAACCTGATATCTGTTCATGAAGCTGTGACATTTGCCTTCAGCCAGCTACGTAGGGAGGTTTAGACTGCCTGGTTGTGGTTCTCGGGATTCTAAGGATGACTGGCCGATTACTGTAGGTGATATGGCTCAAAATCTTTCTCATTGACTTACATGCATTCAGGCTCTGTGATTCCCTTTTTCTACTAAGCCGTCATGGTTTTGTATGTTCCCACCTTTCCCCCTCATATTTTCGCCTATTGTTACTATAGTAACATCTTTTAAAATCTGATTTGTCTTCCTGTCGTTTGTCTGTTTCTGTATGATGCATGGGATGTCGTAACCCGAACCCCGGCACTTCTGTACAAAAGTGTTTACCGAAATACAGTCAGTTAGATAATAATTTAGGTTAATTAGCTAGCTAGCTGCCCAAGCGAAATGGTATTGGATTCTTCACAGCATTCTAGTCACGTTTGGCAGCCTTGATTGTCCAGGAGCAGAATGTTTGCCAGTTATGTATATGGTCTGGTTTCGATTTTTGACTGATACATCCTTAAGCCTCATCTAGTCTGCTAGCCACTATTGAACGTGGCAAAGATTAGTGGCTGAGCGTTGTGCCAATAAACCTTCACCGTAAGGAAATAGACACCACGTCTACGGGAACTTCAATGCTCAAAGCCCTATGTTCAACTTTGAAGGCAGAACAATGAAGAAACATGTATACAAGACATATGACCTCAGTAAAGACCTCATCGTTAAGTTCTATGTGATGCATCTAAGCTCCAGTAACAGAGGCACTCTGACACACCTATATGCACAAGATCCCAACTACCAGTCCGTTTCTCATTAAGCTAAAGCAAAATGTTCAATAGTGTTCGATGTAGATCAACAGGAAACTAACGACATTAACAAGTAATTCTCTCTGATTCCGAATGCATTAGTAGTAATACATGTGACTGCTCTATTGGTTTAGACGGCTTTATTTCTGTCAAGAGGATACCTGTTGTTGAAGATATAGCTTACTAACGAGTACCAACAAACATGAAATCCAAGTCTTTCAGCCACCAAATCACATTAATTCAAAGTGCATTTTGATGGTTAGTCGTTGAATTTGTTGATGACACGGAGAACTTGACTAGAAGAATTCAGTGGATTCCAACACGAAGGTTAAGAAACTACCCAGTGACGAGTCGATGAACGAATACTTTTATTATTTGGTTAGTGATGATTAGCAGTGGAATCCAGAATACGTGTTTCGTCACTTGGATCACAAGTGGTCTGTAAATTACTCTTTAGCGTTTGAAAAGTTGAGTTCTGGATGTGAGCCCCGGTTAGAACAGCATTACTTACTGAGAATGAAGGTACATCCATATAACGAGGTCCAGATAGGATGAAATAAACATTCTGGATACTACTGATGACTCCTATCCACCAAATAGCAACATAGTCATTCTCAGATATCATCGAAGCGTCGTTGTCAGGAACAAATGTATAAGAATTTATGGGAAAAAAATGTATACATAAAACATCAGATATGCTTACTTTCTCTCCTTCACCCTCTGGGGGATTTAATTCACGCCATTCTTCAATTACATTGCATAAATCTACAGTGCTCAGTGGTACTTTAATTTGTCCAATTTGATCATGTTTAGAAAATCGATCAAAATCGTACACAGTGAACTGAACTGTTTTCGATGTAATCTCAGCGTAGGGAATCTGTGAATACAATAACAGAAAAAAAACAGTTACAGGAATGTAAGTGGAGTTAATCTATTTTAGAAATAAAAAAGAATTTGTGATACTGTATACTACTGAAAGAATGATATAAGTAGTTCGCAGCCACTCACATCGATCACCAGTAGCTCTTGCCAACCACGCCAGTATGATATAAACGCTGGACGACTTTTTCTTGTGTTTGCGGTGCACGCAGCCTGGCTAAGCTCAAAAAGATGAATCAGTTTCCATGATGAAGTTTAAATATTCAGAACATATTGTGAAATTTTTTCGATATAATAAATGTGCGTCGGTGGCACAGTGGTTAGGACTCTCGCCGACCATGCACATGGTCCGGGGTTCGAGCCCACGCCGACGCACACCTGATATCTATGGTCGGCCTGCGAAATTTGGGCTACCGATATCCATGCTGAAAATTCCTTACTTGTACCGAAAATACGGTGTGGAATCAAGCTGTAATCAAAAATAAAATAAAAAAAATAAATAAAACGAGTATGAATACACTAAGCTATAAATACAAGTGACCCCTTTAAAAGATCTAGTGGCGGATAGGCTTTGGTAGGCCTCTTAAAATTCTCTAATACTTCCAGCCATTAACATATTCTGCCATGGAAATCCTATTGACCACCTTCACGCAACGGAAATGTTCCTTACATAAGCGAAAAAAGAATACGAATGTCTGGCGCTAATGACCGGAATGGTAGATATCTGGGTAGGTAAACCTAGAGGAGCCTATAGCACATACAGGCTAAAGAATTCGAAAGGATTGAATGGAGCGCGGCTGTTGACTCTGCTCCGTCGTATTGTGAATCAGACTTCTAGTCATAGGTTCCTAGAGTGGCTGCTCAAAACAATCACACGATTGAGTCTGTGCATCAAGGCAGTATCCCTGCCCCCTGAAAAATCGAGATTTTATTTGCAAATTAGTTGTTTTCTTTGAGCTGCATTGGTTAAATTACAGAGCTTTTTATCGTCTTCCTAGACAACATCTTCAGATCAACGCAAATTTTAGCATAAAATTATCTCATATAAATTCTCTATGAATGATAGAATTGCGTCTCCCGGTTACCATCTTCGTGACTGGTAGTCGATTTACATCTGTACTGATTAATTTTTATTGACTTGTATTTTGAACTTTCCCGTCACATGATTTACTTTATATTAGTTGGTAGATTTGATCTATATTACTATGTTTTTTAATCGCATATTCTCTTGAGTACCAGATTTCTAGGAATTCTCTTGCATTACTTTTTTTTCAAGTATTGGTTTTGTAGGGATTTTGTTTGATTGTATGGAGGATTTCACCATTGGATCAGGTCCCAGTGGCTCAATAGTCTACGAACTCGCTGGCCTTGTAACCAGAAGGTCCTGGGTTCGAATCCTGGCGGGTGCGTACTGCTGAAGATTCCCAAACTAGGACGGAGGAAACAGCTGTCCAGTACTCCCAGCTGGTTTCCCAGTGGTTCTCTAACTGATGTCAGCTCATGGTAAAATCCTCCATACAATTACTTTTGGTGTTTCCTCTGTTTAAAATTTCAACATTATACCAATCAAATTGATGTCCATAATTGTCTATATGCATTGATATGAAAGAATATATATATATCATGTGTTTTTACAGCTGATTTATGTTTCTGGATTCTGATTCGAAGGGGACTCCCACTTTGACTGATGTAATGTCTGTTACAGTTGATACAAGTTATTTTGTAAATGGTATCAATTTTATCTTGTTTTTTTTCAGAACAAAATATTTAGAGCGAACAATTGTTTTCAATAAATTCTTCTTCAGGCTCTACAATTATAAATCCATTAATGTAAGCATACAATAGCCAGTAAAGGCGAATTAGAATCATATCAGAAAGTGTATTGTGGAACAAGTATAAGATGGGATGAAACAATAGTCATATAGTCATATAGTTTTTTAATATGCATGGTCAATAACAACATGGGACAGAATGAGATGAAATAATTTAATTTAATGTGTGTATATATATAAATATAGTTAACAGAAAATACAGGTTTCAAGAGTGAGTGTAATCAGGATGTGTGAGGCAATATGAAAATAAACCAACGAATGGGGCGGTCTAGACTTAAGTTCAAGGTTGAAAATAACAACAATAAGGATGATTGTAAAATAATAACGATGATATGGTGTAAAATTAAAATTAAATGTACTATTGGTGAATGATTGTCAAATAATAATAATGAATATAATGAAGTGGAATGGACAGGATTTTGTAAATACGATAGCAAGTTAGAAAAGCACTTTTAAACCTAAGGTAATAAAATCATAAGAAAGGTTTTTTTCCTGTTTGATGGGTCTTTTGGTTTGCACAATATCGAATGAAGCGGGGATTGAACTGGCTGGCTGATGTGCTTTTCTATTTCAAACGGTCTTATTATTTTAGCTGTTATTTGAGAAATATTTCTCATGTATGGTAGGATGAATTTTCTTGTGGTCTTTGATGATGCTTTCTTATTGGTGTTGTGACTAGAGTTTAAACACTTTAGATGAAATTGTGGCGACAACCATTCTTTTTGAAGACAGTTCCTATGTATTTGTTTTTTTTTCATTCCTTTCAACGCTGGAATAGTGGTACAATGTGTTTGAACTCCTTCAAACAATGTTTACACACATTTTTTTTCTTTTGTGAGTAACCGGGTTATTGCTATTATAGTTGAGTATTTGGTTTGTGCGCTTTGATTTTTTATTTATTTGTGTAGCTAAATTTCCTGTGTTGGTTCTGCTGATTAAGACATCTAAAAATGGGATTTTGTTATCTAATTCTTCTTCTCTCATGGTGAATTTGATGTCTTCAAATATGTTGTTTATTAATGTCCTCACAGTCATTGGAAGTTAGGTCAACTACATAGGTCAAACTAGTAGGTCAGGGGTAGTCAGATTGTCAGAGCACAAGAATTTAGCTAAGGTAAGAATGGTTGACCCTAAAAAGATAAGTAATTTAGAAAAATGCTCAGCAATTGCATTGCATGCACTAACACACAACCACACAATAGGGTGGGAGAGGGTTAAAATTCTAAGAAGTAATCTAGGTAGGTGGAGAGAGAGGTTGACTACTGGATCCTTGTTCATTGAGTCTACACCAAACACATGCAATAAGAATAACTCATCACTCATACCTGAAATATGGAAAATACTGCTACCAATCAAATCAAGCGATGAAGTGAAATAATGATGGAATTATATAAACGAAGTTAGAAAGTTGTGTGAGTAATGCCTTATGATGATGACTATGAGCAGAAATAAATTGTGCTCGATATGTGGTCATCAGTAAACGTTACTCTATTACAAACTGTGAGATTTTTTCAAAATAATTTTTTCTCCGTAATGGAATTATACCCTACCACCACAGTGCCCAAGTTTTATTCTTATATCAGAGATACATTCTTCTATAATAGTCTCCCAAATATGAATATACTGTATCCCTTACTGTGTATTATAACAAATAAACTTGTCTAATGCGGAATTCTATTCTTCCCTCCTCAGTCAGTTATGAATTCAACTTAAATATCCTCTGTATGATAATTAGAGAACACAATTCAATTAGATACCTATTTTTTGGTAATTTCTCAATGGGTATCAGAATTCGAATATATAAAATTATGAAGCACTGACAGCCCTTTATAGCAGTGTGATTATAATTGAATTAAAGTTCAGGACTGGGTGAATTAGTGAATAGTAATTAAGGTGATCATAATAAGAGCAGCAATAATATAAAATCGAGGATAGTTTCATGAAAATGTGAACGTGTAATTAGATTGTGAAGTTTTGCAAGTAAATCGGCATAGTGACAGTCAGTATGTAACCTGACATAGTAACAAAAAGGATGATTTAAAGCAGATGATGACTTTTAATCTGATGTATAAGAGTTCTCAGGTGTGATGGGAGGTGAATATTTATCATGAAGGGGGATATTAATAAGAAAATAACAGGGGATTACGTGCTAAGCATGAAGAATAAGATCCGGATTTTCAACTCCAATGTGAAGTCAGTGCTACTATGCAGATCAGAGACTTGACGCTGCATCACGAAGCCGCTTCGAACAAACTACATATCTACATCAACAGCTGCCTTCCCTCGATACAACTCAAGATGAGATGACGGGCCAGGAAAGATCAACAGTAGGGATCTCTAAGGATGAACCAACTCTTTTTTTTTATTTACAGCTTGATTCCACACTGTATTTTTGGTACAATTATGGAATTTTCAGCATGGATATCGGTAGCCCAAATTTTGCAGGCCGACCATAGATATCAGGTGTGCGTCGGCGTGGGCTCGAACCCCGGACCATGTGCATGGTCGGCGAGAGTCCTAACCACTGTGCCACCGACGCACAGGAAGAAATGGAGGTGGATTGGTATTGCTCTGAGAAAACAAACTATCAACTGACATCACACGCTGGGCCATTGTTCAAATCGGCGAGTTGGTGGTCAGCGAGAGGGTGACATCGAAGAGGTGATGCAAAGAGGAGATGAAAGCATGTGGGTAGACCTGGAGGCAGGTGAAAACGTTGTTGGAGAAGCGAGTACAATGGATGTGTATGAACAGATGGAGCATAGTAAACTGAAAATTAGACAAATTTCAGGGGTAAGAAACAAACAGCCGGAGAAAAAGAAATCATTTGACTCTGGATCCATGTCAGACGCAAAAGTTGAACCTGTATCTTTTAAAGACATAATTCAGACTTCTGGATGTAAATAAAGTAAGTTCACGCAATACAATGAAATTCGAGGCACATTATCTTTTATAGATTTCTCCTTATTTTGTCAATAACCGTGAATACTGAGTCAATTTAGGTGACATGAGATGTATTGACGTGGCGTTCAGTTATAGAGCTTCTGACTGAACCAGTGCAGCCTGGTTGCAGCCAATCTGGGTAGTATCTCTCGGACGTTTTGAAAGGATGCGCACAAAACTATCTTTGTACTTAGGTCATTACCAGCGGGTAGACTCATATATGCCACGTTGGAGTGGTCATATGAAAGAAATAGTCCTTCGAATTTCTCAAAATCGGTGAACGGCCAGAGAGTACCACTGCAGTGGTGGCCGTCTTTAAGCAATTCAAGATTCTCCTCTTTTGGATATCTGCAGACCTGAAATCTAAGATCATGTGTAGCATCTGCTTGAAACTGAAGAATACATTTCAATAGTAAAGAAGACGACCATAATCTCCTTTGTATCTCACCATTACTGTATCAGGTGAATGAGTAATTCTAATAACGCTACATTATGTATACATGTTGCAATTAAGCAGCTGTTGGGAATGTAATCGTCAAACATTTCATACATTTATTCCCCCTTTATGAATTTGAATAAGGCAAGAACAAATATGCTCTGTGCAGAATGAAATGATACTTTATCCCAAACAAGTAATAATCATACTCAATGGAACTTTTAGCGTCACGTAATCAAATGAAAGAGAGAATGAAAACACCCAGTTACGAGGCAGCAGGACAAGGAAAGACTGATAACTGCTTCATTCTGAACACACATAAGTCGGCTTTCAGGAGCTTGATGGAGATTGCATCGGCAAACTTAAGGAGAATTGAACTCTTTTGCCTATTGATAACTCTGAACGTTCTTGCAACATCCACCTCGTGATCTGTATCAAGGAAATGCCTAGCAATGCTACTGTTTGAAGCATTTGTTCCCATTAGACATATGCCTCTTGTTACATGTTCAGAAAACTGGAGGTGTGTGAGCCCTCCTTTCTGTTCTTCCAATGTAACTGCTCCTACAGATACACGCAAGTTTGTATACAAAGTTGGGGTTAATGTTAGAAGTGTGTCTGTCGACTTTCAATTGCATCAAACAGCATATTATCTGATAGACGGGAGCCAACTTGACTACTGTCTAGTGACGTACTCAGTCTTCTGTTGACTATCTCTGCAGTATTATCACCCTTAAAATCGAGCTGAATGAAGGCATGTATAAGGATGAAACTTGGGTACAGTGATAGAGTTTAATTCCATTGTGGATAAAATTTGATTTTGATAAAATCACACAGTGTTACACAATACAAATTTACTGAAGACCATGATTCGAGAACAATTTATTGTCGCTCATAATCATATCAAGGCACTACTCACGCAAAATAAATGAGAAAGAATATGAGGCATCTACGTTATTATTATTATTATCAATATATTATTGTTTCCTTTAGTTCCCAGAGAAACATAGGGCTTCAGCTGCACCGCGCCATTGCGTTGGGTCCTCCGCCAACGTTTCCACCTGGCTACACGCGCTTTCACCTCATCTTCGCATTATCTCCTCCTCGATGTCACCTTCTTACTGACGACCAACTCGCCGCTTTGCATTCCGTCGGGTTCCACTTCAGCAATGGCCTGGTGTGTGATGTCACTCACTTGAAGGTTTGTTTTCTCAGAGTATGACTAATCCGTCTCCATTTCTTCCTGCTTATATGTTGCACAGTTTTTTCTTTCTGGGTTGGTTCGTTGGTTGATTGCCAGAGATCTCTGTTGCTGATCTTTTCTGGCCAGCAATCTGATCTTGAGTAGTGTTGAATGAAGACAGCTAGCCGTTGATGAAGGTCTGTAGTTTGTTTGAAGTTCCCTTCATGCTGCGGCACTAAGTTTCTGATCATATGCCAAGCAACACTGACTTCACATTGGAGGTGAAAATCCGGATCTTATTTTATGTGCTGAGTGCTGTTGACTTCCACACAGATTTGAGAGAGATGAAAGTTTGCCTTGCTTTCCTGACTCTTGCTTTGGTATACTCATCAGTTTCACCTACATTTGAAACGATGATTCCCAGGTAGGGTAGGTAAACTAGATTGTTTCTTTCAGATTTCTTCCATTTATGCTAATTGATTGTTGTCTGTTGTTGTTGTTGGCCAGGGATCTTCATTGCCTCTGCTTTCTCTATCTTCACCTGAAGTTCTACTTTTGATGATTTTTACACCAAATCGTCACTTTTCATCACTCGCATATCTTCAGGCATACCTCTTCGACGAAGTCCAGATCTTCGAATTTTTTGTGTGCGTTCATTCTATGCCTTTTTCCTAGCTACCTGCTGTCTGTCGTGAGACCTCAAGTAGGGTTCTGTGTTAAGCAGGAATTAGGGCGGCATTCAAGCCTACAAAACTCAAGCTCTAAAGGCTAAGGGACCCGGTGGACCCAAATGAACAAAATAATATAATTTACATAATATTTTGCAATGACAGTGAGTAAGGTTAATAACACAGATCAAAACAGGTAGATCCGGAGTAGTGAGAGTGTCAGACAATAAGAATTTAGCTAAGGTTATTAAGGTTGACCCCACGAAGATAAGTAATTTAGAAAAAAGCTCAGCAATTGCACTACACGCATGCATCAACACACAACCATACAATAGGTTGGGTTGGACAGAGTCAAAATGCTAAACAGTGATATAGGTAGGTGGGTGGGGAGAGACAGGGGTTGATTACTGAATCCTCATTCATCGAGTCTACACCCAACACATGCAATCGAAGTGACTCAACACAAATACCAGAGATATGGAAGATATTATTACAAAAAAAAAATCAAACCAGAGGAGAATAAATAATGTGAAAATGTATTCAATTACACACTATAACATTCTAACAAGTTATTTACCTTTTTTACAATAAAGACATCTTATTTCCCAACTGATTGTATTTTATTCATAACACTAATATTATTGTCCCGGAATATACCTCATCCTATATTGACATTATTAAGACATCTAATCAAATTTTGACTCCCGTATGTACATCGAAGCAAGAAAGTTGTGTGAGTAATGGCTTCATTTGATTATGAGTAACAAGAATTTGTGCATAAAAAACCTGGTCATCAGTAAATATTATTGTATAACAACACTGTGTGACTTTATTAAAATAAAATTTTAGCCTTAATAGACCAGAGATTGGCTTTTTTCTCAATACAGCTTGTTTGGTTACTTTCGGAGTGACCTTGAGAAACAGTTGGTTGATTAAAACAAGCACAATTGGTAAGTTGAATCTTTAATATTCATATTAAACAAACTTGAAATCACTTTTGATTTTCCTAAAAAATTTGTTGATTTTTCTTTTAAATAAAATTATTTTCTTCTTCAATGAAAACAATTTAAAAAGTAATTTTGTATACATTTCACTTACTTTAAAAATAAATGTTTCATTAAATACTGGATTGAGTATTTTTCGATGAACTTTAGTTTCATATTTCTTCTTTTTGTCTGGTAATAAAGTCACTTTCACATAAGGGTCAGAGGTACCACACATATCCATAGCTGGGAGATCACAGGCTTGAATAACACCAACTGTTAACTGTGAATGGTAGGCGGAGAAGGGAGAAAGTGAGACGAGTAGTTAGGTAGGTGGTTATAAGCATGCGAATATATACATATATATATATATATATATATATATATATATATATATATGTGAAATTATGTCTATGGGGTGGTCGTATACTGATGAATACATCATTAGCAGTTCTAACTGGTGGTCTATATGAAATTTTCGGGCTTCCGAAAACACCCTTTTCCATGAAACACACATATTATTCCCCATTTAATCTTTTAAACTTCAGCAGCCAATGAAATTGACTTTGAATAAAGCAAGAACTACAGTGGTGGTTTGTGCAGAATAAGAAGATGATACCATCATTGTTTATTTCATCGCCTTCTCATCAGTTCAGCTGCTACTTACAGCCTAAATAAATTATTATAAAGTTCATGTATAGAAAAGCTTTAACATACTTGCAAATTTTATATTATATCAGTTGACAGGAAGTTTGATTCTCCTCAAGTTTGCCGAAGCAATTTTTATCAAAAACGTGAAACCAGACTTGTATGTTCAAAAAGAAGCATTTATTAGTTACTCCTTGCCCTGGTAATTGGATGTCTTTATTGTTCCTATCATTTGTTTATGTAATTTTTGGCATTAACCTCATCCCCCGTTTGATATAGTGTAATTTTGTTGGTCTCTTATTTCTACGATTTCATTTGAACTGAGTACATTGTTATTAAATTGGATTTTTTTTTTATTTTCCCGTCGATTGATTGGACCGAAGTGCTCGGTCTCAGGTTGACATGTCTGTTGGCTTCTTGTGCAGATGCTTCGACGATGTCTGGGCATTTAGTTAGGATACAATTGGTGGATGGTGGCTAGCAGTGAAATCCAGGATAACGCGCATTTCGTCCTATTTGGGACTGGTCAGCTGGATGTACCTGCATTTCTCAGTGAGTGATGATGTTCCCACCGAGGCTCGAACCCAGTACCCATAGTTTTGAACGCCAAAGCGTTATCCCCTAGACCACTTGGGCCACAAGAGCCACCTCTTGTGAGTACATTGTTACCTAATTTGTCAATCACTCGGCATCTTACACATCTTTCGTCTTTGTTACGAAACCCTCTTATCACTGTATGCAAACATTTATGTTGTTTAAACTTGAACTGCCTATGTAAAAACTATATAAGCACATTTTTCTGAAGACTGTTCACTTATTGCGGAACCTTCTGTCAACTGACATCATGGAACAAAATTTACAAGTATGTTAAAACTTTTCTGTACATAAACCTCATCATTTATTTAGGCTGTAAGCAGCAGCTGAGCTGATGAGAAGACAATGAAATGAACAATGATGGTGCCATAGTCTTCTGCACAAACCTCCACTGTAGTTCTTGTTTTATTCAAATTCATCAAGGGAAATAAATGCATGAAATCGACTTTGCCTTCAACATATGATAATTAATCAGAATTGAAGAGCGATAAAAGTAGCAAAATCGTTACAGGGGTGACTTCAGATAATGTTGATGTTAGATTAGCTTGTATTTAAGATTATGTTCTCCAATCTACCCTAAATTCTCAGTCGTCCCAAATAAGTGTTTATACTGTTAAACTTTTCCCGTATACATATATTTTAATAATTCTATACTAATGAAATTGTTATGGGAGTTGTCAGGCGAATTCGGAATAGAACGTACACTATAGTTTGACTGAAACACATGCGAAGCTACATGGTCGTTGCCCATCATGTGTCTGGATGTCAGACGGATTTCAACCCTTCACTTTCCATGTATTTTGTTGGATAAATTTAATTGGTAGAACACACACTGTCTGTCTGTCTGTTTTCGACATAGAACTTTGCACAAATGTGCGGAAGTTCAAGTCGCCACACTCCGTGTAGCACGCGAAGCAACAGAAGAAAGTACAAGAAAAGCATAATAGAAACGGTGAGCAGAGATGTGAGACAAAGGAGTAGAAGGAGTAATAACGAAGAACAAAACAGTTTCATTGGAGATCATAAGTCACAGGGAGTGGATGCATCTGAGCCACTGAGAACGATTTTGAGCCATGTCACCAATTGTTTCCAACCATAGATTTTTACCGTCCCGAGGACCCCAGCCTGGAAGTCTACACCTTCCTACGTGGCTTAGATCAACTGTTGTGGATTTCGTTGACTGGTGCCAAGTTTTTGTTTGACCGCCACTAGCTTTTTTCCAGCCTGACCCTATATCCGCTAACATTGCTCGTCGAGGGAGGCGATGGCTTGGCATACATAACACATGTCCTAACCATCTCAGTCTTTGTAACTTCACGACTTCGTCGATTGATTTCCCCTGTTTACGTAGAACTCTACGCCTAACCTCCATGTTGCTCACCTTATTATGCCACTTCACACGGGAGATAGAACGCAGGCACCTATGATCAAAGACAGTTAATCTTTTCATGTCTTCCACTCTCAGTGGCCAGGTCTCACAACCATAAAGGAGGACGGAGCGGACTGATGAACAGTACACCCGCCCTTTGGTCGATAGTCGAACATCTCGTCTACACCAGAGTCGGCGTAAACTGGCAAATGCGAATCGAGCCCCCTGTATTCGTAGAACACACACACACAATCAGTGAGTGATACAGTATTAATATTTTGATGAGGATCTGAGAACAGTTTATTACTGCTCACAATCAAATCCTTGAGTATTATTCATACGATTTCTGAACTTTTTTATTATACCTTTACGCTCATCAATATCTTTCATTGCACCGATTCAACTAAAAGAGGCGATTGAAAACAGAGGGAAATGGAGATTCACCGCTTAAGATACAAGTTCTGTCTGGAACGCATGGATGCAATAATAATAATAAGATGTAGATCACAGTGATCGATACTGAAATGCACATCCTGGATTTCACTACCAGCCACCAACAAAACAAGTAACTTCAATTCATTTTGTTTTCCACTCAAAATAGCCAACATATTTACCTATAGGTGAGGCTCGATTCAACTTGATTTGCAGTCGGAATGTGTTTGAATAATCTAACCATATGTGCAGCATTCTTTAAACCCTGGTTTTTGAAACATACACTTTGTCTTCAAGGAGGGTTTCAGTAGAAATCAATGGCCTATTGACTCTACTATACAAAACCAAAGATGGCAGCTGTTTCGTCTCAGCGTCCCCATACTCCCCATCCAGTAAAGTTTCAGTCCATAACCTTGTTCATCGCTATTCAGCCTCTAGGTAGGAATACAAACATCTGTTACTTCTCGATGGGATACAAGTAAACTGATCACGGATAAAGGGGAGTAAGAGAACCATTGAAAACCATCCATGATTACTGTTAGTATGAGACGCTTCATAGTATACATCCCTGACTCCGTCCTACAGGAGGAGAATCCTAGAGTTTTAGGTTGAGTGGTCAAAGCCGTTGACCCTTCCACCACTGAGATTGAATCCAATGGCCGATGAGCTTTAACTTCTGTCATCCAGCTCATTTCAGCGTCACCACTAACCAGTACCATTAGGTAAGTACAGGACAAATTTGCCTGTAGTTCCACTGAGAAGTCATAAGCAGTGGGGGCCACCAAGTATAGCATATGCAAAAATACTCGCAATAGACATTCGGAGTGAGGTGGCATTAAGAATAGTGAGTTAACACAAATTAGAATTCATAAGCTATTGGATCCTTGCTCAAGTGCCTGGATGAACAAAGAGTGTAGCTTCGTAACTTGGAGTACTTTGGTTCAAATCCTGGTGGGTGTGTAATGCTGCAGAGTCCCGAACTAGGACAAAACAGTTGTCTAGAGAGTACTTCGTCCTCTTTTTCAATGGTTCTCTAACTGATATTAACCAAAGCTGAAACAAATCGGATCCCTACAAATTAACTACAGAATGAAGTTCACTGGAGTTCCAGTGAGAAGTTGTGAGCAGTGGGGCCAGTCAGATTTGGTTTGCGAACAAATACATTCACTGGCGGTGGCACTATATATCCCAAGCTTACAGAGCTTAGAATTTCCGGTTGATTAGTCTACGAGCTCTCCTATTAGCCTCAAGGTCCTTGATTCGATCCTCATTGCTGTCACGAGTGTATATTGATGAACAATGTGAATCCGGAACGAAACAGGTATCCATTATTCACTGTTTCTCTAACTGATATCAACTCGTGATCAACCTAAAATCAATGAAACCCTAAAAAGTAACAATTGAAAATCTGATTTGTTGCTAATTCCTAAATCGATCCAGGATCACATGAACTAGACACGTTTAAATGTATTTCCTTATAATCTCAAATGATACTTTTTCATTTGTCAAACCTACGCATATTTTTGGTTAAACGTATTTTCAGACATTAATGTACGTGTTTTTTCCCTTTATTTTGGCATGCATCAGCTGAACATATGTTCACAAAACACAATAATATTAGCAATACAAAGATAAACTATACTACTGAAATCGAACAATATAAGTAGTTTAAAGTCTCACAACAGGCTTAGTTATCTAACTAATCAGATAGAGTTGTAGTCAATCAATTCAGTGTACACTTTAAATTATTCATAACAAAATATCACAGGTAAATCAATTTCTTAATTAATTTATTTAATTTGTTAATATTCTGGTCTACAGGCACGTGGACTTATGTGAAAAATGGGCTAAATCCATTCTATCTATCTAACTCACACCACCCTCTTCATTCACAACTCTCCCCTTGTATCTTTCTCATCAGGCAGAACCAGAAGACTATATAGGAAACTGTATGCTCGCACAACTATATCCTACTTAGCTTATGTTCTGTGCGATAAAGAAAGGATTAGGCGGGATACCTATAACTTATTAAATAGTCAGTAGAACAACGGGATCTCGTCTTTCCAACTTATGTCATTTATAGGAACAACGCTTTCTTTCTTTCTTTTCCTTTTCTCTCTCTTTTTTTCTATTATGTGCAGCTTTGTCTCTTTCTTCTGCTTACGCCAGTAAATAGGCGAGTATCTACTTTTCTAACACCTTCAAACATTCTGTTCATCTTTGGCTTTGCTACCGACATGCTAATATGTTGTTGTCAAAACTAACTGAGATTACCCCTTAATCTATGCAGAATTTTATTTATTGTTAATGTACTAACTGGATGCAATACTGTCTGTAGTGAAATGCTGAGAATTCCATTGTGTATCACAAGTACTGATTTGGAATAAAGCAAATTATTGCCATTATTATTCAGCTTTTTACTTATTAGCAAGTTATCGGGTAAGGAAGAAGTGGGAATAGCAGTGATTACGTAACATGCACGGATCTATGTACATACCTCAGCCTTCTGAAAGTCGTAATCCAGTGAGAATTGAAGTTTTCCACAGTACTGTTTGACTTTTTCACCAGCTTGTTCAGCTTCATTCATTTCCATGTCAGATTTCAGAGCAACGCTATCCTGGATGAGAAGCAAAAGTGAGAGAAAAAAAGTGGGTATTGTAAAGAATTTTTCTTATAGTCTTCATAAAAAAGCAACTATGGATTTTAACTAACTTATAAACTCACTGACTGATGGTTAGCTTGCACAGAATATCTTTCGTTTGGTTAGCAGTGTTACAGAATACGAATTATCCAGGTGAATGAATGACCTTCGAGCGAATATTCAGAATAAAAGAGAATAAAAAGGCCAGGTTTCCGTCTATCGGAGATAATTTTTTGGATTAGACATGAGTTAGTAACTAGTGTAATGTGTCTAGTCCTATCTGCGGTTCAGATTGAATTCTATTAGTCATGCTAGATGGCTCACCACCGAGATGCACCATGAATTGTTGGTATTATATAGTTGAAGGCAATTGGCAGGAAGCCTTGGACTTAGGTCTCGTGCTAGCTGGCCGTTGTCAGCAAGCCACCTAGCGTGGTGAGCACTTTGCAAACTTGACTGATGGAATTCAGTGTAAACCAAAGTTGGAACTAGGCATATCTCACCAGTTACTGCATAGTGTCCCACAGAAGGTGAATCACGAGCCCGAATACCTCAGTGGTTATGTCTCTGGCTTCAACAATGGATGACAAGTTCGAATTTCAGAAGGCATATCAGTTATTCCTTCAGGACACTGATGACTAGTTTCAACAGTCACGAGGTCTAGGTGAAAGACTTCCTGCCAATTGCCTGCAACTGTTTAATACCGACTGTCGGAGGTACCTTTCTTAAGTTAACTCTAATTTTGTAAGCAAATTTACATATAACTGCAGTGTCAGTTACCTTGGGATCTGAGAAAGAAGACTAAAACCTTCGAGATTTCTGAACACATACCAAAAAGACCATATCTTAGGCATCACTAGGATATAATTCATGAAGTGAACACCTTGAATTGCCTTAATATAATATAATATAATATATATTTATATATATTTAATATAGTTCAATCAATCTCAAGTTTGCCCATACAACCTCCACGAAATTCCTGAAACCTGATTTCTTTTTTCAAAAATAGAAGCAGTTGTCAGCTCTTTTCTTAATCTGTTAGCTGAATGCCTTTACCCTCCTTCTAGTTTAATTACGTAACCATCAGCTTCAAACTTTGACCTTTTCTCGCTATGATTTGAGTTGAACTCATACTGTAATGTAGCTTATCGGCTACTTATCACCTACTAATCCACCAGTTATCCCTATTACGTAACTCCTCCGACAGTGTACCCAAATTTCTATTTTTGTTCACACTTGACCCCTCGAGGTATAAACTATGTAAGTGAGAAAAATGATATCACATCTTCCTGTATTTACCGATTTGAATGTACTTGTGGATATACAGGACTCATCGATCTCTGCAACTGAGGCCTGGCTTTAAAGCATACTTCCAAATGGCTTTTGAAGCAAATAGAATCCCCGAAATTCACTAATGGTGAGAACAGACGACCTGGCTCTTATTTTACGAAACATATTATAGAGACAGGACATAAAATTGATGTTTCCACGCATCTTTTAAACCTATCTATAAAGTATGTTTAGGGAAGGGCGTATCCTAAGGCTTTTGAAACCTTTGGTGACAATTAGGAAGTTCAAACCACCTTTATGCATTCAGAGCGACAGGTCATCATCACACTAAACCTTCCTTGGTAAACTCTGTTTTGATACCAGCCAGGGTGGATGTACTGTAACCTCCCTTCTTTGGTTTAGTGGTAAACATTGTTGTTTTGACCTTCCAAATGCCCTTTTAGCTCGACTCAAGTTTATTTCCTCGCCTCTTAACCTCTTAAACGTCTGTATGTTAGCAAATTGTTTGAAATGGGTCGCACAAAAGTTTGGAGACTCCGTTCAGTTGTAACATCCTCAAGTACGTTGAAAATTTCTCTGTGGTGAACAATACTTTTCGAAGCTGTACATATCTAATGAGAAATTGACGGGAGAAAAAAAGACTGTACCACCTTTTATTTTGCACACTAGCCATTGTTTTTGTCAACTTTATTCAAGTTGGTTTAAAACGGATAAGTACCTTTATTTCGATAAAGTTACACAGTGTTACATATGCAGTCATATTTAATGATAACCACCTTTCGAGCACAAATTATTGCCGCTCATCATCATATCAAGGCACACACACACACAACATAAATAAGAAAGAAAAGAAGGCATCTACAGTTTTATCATATAAAGCGGGATCATCTGAGACCCTTCCTACTTAAGATTCTCAATAAAGCAGGAATTAGGGTGGTTATCAAACCTACAAACTCATTCAGGTTGGACAAGCCCTGTGGGCTGAAGGACCCGGTGGACCAAACTAAACAAAAATATATAATTTACAAAATACCTTGCAATGACTGTGAGTGAGGTCAACAACACAGGCTTAACTAGTAGATAGAAGGTAGTCAGATTGTCCGAATATAAGAATTTAACTAAGATTAGAATAACTGACCCTACCTGTGAAGATAAATAATTTAGAAAAAAGCTTAGCACTGCATTGCACTGCATGCATCAGCACACAACCACACAAGAGTCAAAATTCTAACAACTAATATAGGTAGGTGAGTGGAGAGAGAGGTGGTTGATTACTGAATTCTGGTTCATTGAGTCTACACACCCAACAACACATGCAACAGAAATGACTCAATGCAAATATGGAAGATATTATTACCAGTCAAATCAGAGGAGGATAATGAATAATCTTAAAATTCTATTTCAAATCATGCACATCACAACATTCTAACAAGTTACTTATTTATTTTGACTATAAAAACCCTCGTCTTATTTCCCATCTGATTGTATTTGATTGCTAACACTCATATTATTATTTCTCAATCTACTTTATCTTATATTGATTTTATTCAAATGTCTAATCATCAATTTTTACTCATGTATATAAATGAAACTTGGCGAGTCATAAAGAGCATCTCAAACAAACTTCAGACCTTCATTAACAGCTGTCTTCGCTCAATACTCAAGATCAGATGACCGGCCAGAAAAGATCGGCAACAGGGATCTCTGGCAATGAGCGAACCAACCAGGAACCGATTGTGAAACAAATAGGCAGAAAGAAATGGAGATGGATTGGCCATACTCTGAGGAAACCATCAAGTGACATCACTAGACAAGCCCTCGAGTGGAACCCGAAAGGGAGGCGGCGACTTGGTCGTCCAAGGGTGACTTGAAGGAGGTCATGCGAGGAGGAGATGAAAGCATGTGGACAGACCTGGAGCAGGGTGAAAAAGTTGTCAGAAAACCGAAGGCAATGGAGATGCACAGCTGAAGCCCTATGTTCCTCTAGGAACTAAAGGATACAATAATAATATAAATGAAGCAAGAAAGTTGTGTGAGTAGTGCCTTGATATGATTATGAGCAATAATGATAAATTGTGCTCGAAGCGTGGTCATCAATAAATATTACTGTATATGTAACACTGAGAGACTATTTCAAAATAAAATTTTATCCATAATGTAATTATACTCTACTACAACAGTGCCCAAGTTTTATCCCTACATCGACTGTTGTCATCTTTGAATTGGGAAATCATAAATAGTGTCTACTCTGGCACTGTGATTTTCCTAGGAAAGGTTTCTTTCTTCATATTCATTTCAATGAAGTTTCTAGAATGTCCATTATCTAAGGTTTGGAATGCAACTCAGATATGTAGCTTATGTTTAGTCATATCATCTACAGCTAAAGGGACAGATATGTCTTGTAGCTTTCCCTAGAACCGCTACTACCTTACATTTTGTATGATGCTATAAGATAAGTGTCTGTTTAGAGAAATTATCCTAAGTCTTTTTGTGCAGAAGAGATAAATGGACGACACTTTTTGTAGTGATAAATGTTCAACTTTCAAACTTCTCAGAAAATATAAAATTATTCACAACCTAAGAGGTGTAGAATTCTACATTTCACTTGCTAAATGCTATGATAGGTAGTAGAGAGGATGATACATTGAAAACGTCAGTTTACCGGGGAGATATATCAACTTCTAGGAGGAATTGGAGAGCATATATATTCTTTATACTTGTGAATTTTCATAAATACACTTTCATGACACGGTTGATACAGAACTAGAACTCCATCGTACAATTCTCTTGAAAATGATGAATATAACCGATGATATTCTTAAATATGGTGGAGTGGATCACGCGACAGATTGTGCGTGGGAGTGAGGAGACAGAAATAGGCTGGACGACTATTGGGAAGACTTTAGGAAATCTGGATTTTGATGTGGTTGTGTTCTCTGAGCTGGATAGTTAATTTGCGAAGCTTTCATCGCCCCAACTCTAGGTAACACCTTCAGAGCATACTTCAATTTGAAGTGAGCTTTTAGATTTCTCCACGAGTTTATTAATCATCTCTCTCGGCGGATGACCTTGGACATGACTGGTTGTTTTTGTGTGTTTTCACACCTTCTAAAAAATGAAATCATTCCTAAATATTCACACCTTCTAGGTTACTCGTATTGAAACTGATTGTTTCTTTGACTTGAGCTTTGACCCTTTGTGTGTGAGGTTTCTTTCGTATGGGTTGATAAATTTTGTCTATCTAGATGTGTCTATTGATTGATGATTCACTGGAATGCCAAGCTTATAAAAGTACTCTAGCACCCGTGTTGTTTCCTCTGTCTAATATTTGAACGTTGTTCCAGTCGAACTGATATCCGTGGTTGTCTGTATGCAGCGATATGAGTGTGGGAGTGGATGTCCCATCTTTTGACGGCTGGTTTATGTTCGTGGATACGAAGACGAAGGGGACGTCTACCTTCGCCAGTGTAGTGTTTCTCGCAGTTGTTTCAATGTATTTTGTAGATGATGTTGGTTTTATCTTCTTTCGCTGTTAAGTCTTTCGGTTGACATAGAACTCATTGAAGTGGTTTTGCTGGTTTGTGTACGACGTTAATTCCTAAAGGATTGAAGAGTCTTGTAGTGATTTCTGATATATTCTTTAAATATGGTAAGACGATCACCTACTCAGCTATAGTAGCGAT